TTTCTTTTTCTTTGTGTTTTAATTTCAGGATTTTATTGGGCAGATGAAGGTAGCTTCATTTCTTTAGAAAATCTCTTCTTTCTCTATGCAGTTCATGATGTACTTTACTCTCTTATTCAGACAGGAATTGGAAGAGCAAATCAGAGCAAAAGCATCAAAATATCCAGTAATGTCAGATCATTAAATACAACACTATATAGTTATACAATAGACATTATAAAGCCTTTTAAATGTCACTGAGAATCTCAAGTTATCTAAACAATGTTCATGAAATAAAATTCAGTCACTGGAAATTATATATATATATATATATATATATATATATATATATATAGATAGATATATAGATATAGATATATAGTTTCTGTCTTGCTATCTATCCATCCATCTATTTATTTAAACAAAGGAAATATACCAAATTATTAACAGTGGTTACTTTTGAGTAGAGAGATTATTAATTAGCAAACATTTAAAAATGTATTTCTGATTTTCAATAGTTCTACCATACATATTATTTTTATAATCTAAAATGATTATAAAAGTAATTATTACTAGAAAAGACATGACCAAAGTTCTAGAATAAGTTGGTCTTATACTATAGAAGCTTTGATGAAGAAATTTAATATATACAATTATTTCCCTTTTTGATTTCTTGAGTTTGAGAAAATATAAATAGAATAGTAACTTTCTAGATACATCTTGTAAACATACATTCAGTAAATTTAGACAGTCACAGGCAAGTTTGGTAGCCTGTTGGGTCTATTTGCATGGAGGACAGAGGGTCTTGGTAATGAAAGGTTATTATTTTCTTGAGGTTGATGGTGTCTTCCCCATCCACTGGATATTTCAACCTCCCAAGCATGGGAAGGCATCCAGTTAATGAAGGCACTCAATGTTACAGAAGAGTTGAAGGTGTTCTTGGGGCTACAGAAGAACTCAGTTACACCTTCATACAGTGACAACAAGCTTCCTACTCCTCCTTAAAAGAAGAGCCATGGCCCTCAGGAGAGGAAGCTATGAAAGAGAATGAATGAAATGAATGCTTTATTAACTAACCAGTGTTGGTACAAAGCAAACAGGTCACAAGGCACCCAGTTTCATTGGTGTCCATCAAAGCATTACTACGTCCATCTGTGAGCCTGATAAGGAAGAAAAAGAGTACATGGGTGATGCAATGGGGATCTCTTCCCCTTCTTGAGTTCCTGTTACTTCTATTATAATTATAAATTAATCGCTTGAATAAACAAATTTACAGATGTTTTTGAATATGACGCCTTATCCTAGCTTGTTAAAAATTCCTAAATACAATTTCCTAAGACCAGGGGGAAATTTGAGAGTTTTCAAGGCAATTGAGCACCTGTTTATGAAATGGTCACACCATGTGTCCGTCACTATAGTAGATATTGTGGAGGCTAAAGAGATAAGACACTGTCTCTGAAGAAAGCTCTATGGATCTTATGTGAGAGATGATAGTAGACACACGTAGCACACAAAGAATATGACATATTCCAGGAGGTGAAGTAGGATGAAATATGGGTGGAGAAAGTGTTCTATTGCGATTTTAGAATATAAACTCTGAATTTAGCTACCCTGAAAATCTATTCTGTTTCTTTTAATACTGGATGCATCTAAGACACCTTGGGCAAGTTACTTATTGTCTGTATGCCTCAGTTTCTTCATCTGTAAAATGGTGAAATTAAATCGGCTTCATAAAGTAATTTGTATATAATATGCTTAGAAGAGTGTCTAACACGTAGATGGAGCTCAATAAACAACAGCTCTTGTCTCTGCCAAATGTCAAGAGAAATGGTCCAGAGAATACATCTGATCCTTGTAAAATATCGATTGCCAGAGTTGTAGCAGGCATTTGACAGGAAGTGATGCCCTTTAGAAGTGGCGTGGTCAGATTTCAAAGAACATTTTCAGGGTTGTATTTTCTAAAAGGCTGGGAATTACTCATCCCAACAACAACTGTAAATCATTCTCTTCTGGAAAAGAAAATAAGTGGAAAGAAAAAACTATATCAGTTGATTATTTTCTTTAAAAGAAATCTTACGTCATTAACATGAGGTTTTTCTGGAGAGTTTGAAAAGTTCATGACAGCCCAGGACTCATGATGGTGACAATTCTGAGGATATAGGAAAATCATTTCCCATGCAGGGAAGAAGAAATATAATAAGAGAAGATAAGAGTATGCCATGAAAATAAATTTTTAAAAAAATTGAAAGGGTAAGAAAAAAATATTCACTTATTCACTCAGTCAACAAACATATATTAATTAAATGCCTACTATGTGAGGCTTGGTACAAGAATCTAGGATCTCAAATTACATAATATAGTCTGTACCCTCAAGAGTTTAAAAGGCAGGCAATGATTAAGTGATTAGAATGCATTGTGATAAAGGGTAGAACAAGGCACTACAGAAGGCACGGAAGGGGTCCATAAGGCAGGTCAGGGAAGGCATCCTGGAGGAGGCACGGTCTGAATGCCATGCACAAGGATGATGTACTGCAGGTACGTCACTGTGGCTAAATTGCCAGTGTGGACAAGTGTGGGGTGGAGCTGAGTCTGAACGGTGTGGACAAGAGTGGGGTGGAGCTGAGCCCACACGGTGTGGACAAGTGTGGGGTGGAGCTGAGCCTGATCGGTGTGGAGAAGCGTGGGGTGGAGCTGAGCACAGACGGTGTGGAGAAGCGTGGGGTGGAGCTGAGTGCGGACGGTGTGGAGAAGCGTGGGGTGGAGCTGAGCCTGGACGGTGTGGAGAAGCGTGGGGTGGAGCTGAGCCCGGACGGTGTGGAGAAGCGTGGGGTGGAGCTGAGCCTGGACGGTGTGGAGAAGCGTGGGGTGGAGCTGAGCCTGGACGGTGTGGAGAAGCGTGGGGTGGAGCTGAGCGCGGACGGTGTGGAGAAGCGTGGGGTGGAGCTGAGTGCGGACGGTGTGGAGAAGCGTGGGGTGGAGCTGAGCCTGATCGGTGTGGAGAAGCGTGGGGTGGAGCTGAGCCTGGACGGTGTGGAGAAGCGTGGGGTGGAGCTGAGCCCACACGGTGTGGACAAGTGTGGGGTGGAGCTGAGCGCGGACGGTGTGGAGAAGCGTGGGGTGGAGCTGAGCCTGGACGGTGTGGAGAAGCGTGGGGTGGAGCTGAGCCCACACGGTGTGGACAAGTGTGGGGTGGAGCTGAGCCCGCACGGTGTGGAGAAGCGTGGGGTGGAGCTGAGCCTGGACGGTGTGGAGAAGCGTGGGGTGGAGCTGAGCCTGGACGGTGTGGAGAAGCGTGGGGTGGAGCTGAGCCTGGACCATGTGGAGAAGCGTGGGGTGGAGCTGAGCGCGCACAGTAAAGCAGAGGACACGTGGAGAAGTTCTGCCATTGTTCTGAGACCAACATGAATTTTTTAGAAGATTTAAGGAAATGAACGACAGTTAACTATTTTTGAAAGATCATACCGCTGGATCCCTACGCCCCTTCACTCGGCCCCTCCCGCAGCCGTCGGCCGCTCTGTCTGAGTCTGTCTCTATGTTGCTTGTTAGTTCATCTTGTTTGGTAGATCCCACATATGACTGAGATCATCTGGTACTTGTCTTTCTCTTATGGACACAGACATCAGTGTGGCGATTGCCTGGGGGAGGTGGTGTGAAGGGGGGGAGGGTATGGGGGATACATGGTGATGGACGGAGACTTGACTTGAGGTGGTGAACACAGTACACTGTACAGATGATGTGTTGTAGAACTGTGCACCTGAAACCTGTAAAATTGTGTTAACCAGTGTTATCCTAATAAATTCAATAAGAAGGGGGAAAAGGAAAGATTATAGTGGCTGCACTCTTGCAACAATATGAAAAGTAGACCAGGACTGAGCTTTTCCAAATTTTATAGCTTTCTATGTAGATTCCTGTGTCCATAAAGTGAGGTGCAACTCAGTCTCTTACATCTGTCTGGTTCGCTGATCCACCCCAGTGCTATTTACTACCCACCCAGTAGTCCTCCTCACACTGCCCCTCGGTTCCCTACAATTAATGCGGCTGCCACAGTAGACAAAGAAAAGGAGGGTGAGGAATGAACTTGATCTTTCTCTCTTTTCCAAATGGAAACTAATAGACATGCCCAGGGAGTCTACGCCTTGAAAAACTATTATTCACTGGTTAATCCCACAGGATCTTGATTTAAAAGCCAGTCTTGGCCCTGGCTGGTTATGCACAGTGGTTGGAGCATTGGCCCAAGGACCAAAGAGTCTCGGGTTCCATTCCAGTCCAGGGCATGGACTTTGGTTGCTGTTCATTGCCCAGCCCTGGTTGGGGTGGTATGGGAGGTGACCAATTGATGTGTCTCTCTCACATCAATGTTTCTCTCTCTCTCTCTCTCTCTCCCTCCCTCCCTCCCACTCTATCTGAAAATCAATGGAAAAATACCTTCGGGTGAGGATTAAAATAAAAAGCCAGTTTTGCCTAGTGCTCTCTCTGTGACCTTGAGCAAATTTGTCAGTATCTCTGTCCTCAATGTCTTTAAGATGGGAATAAATTATGTCTGTCTTGTATTAGTCAGAATTGGCTAACTACTATAACAAATAAACCAAATCCCAAAGACTTGAGACAACAAAAATTTATTTCTGGTTCAAGTCAAGAAATGGTATTAAGTAAAATGATAAAATTAGTTAAAGGTAGCAAGAAGAAAATGTTACATACAGAAATTGTTTTTCATATATGCATATAATAACTAGTTGGAAGACATAATAAAGAAAAATGTTCACTTACAATGATAACAGAGAAGAGCAAACACTTCAGAATAAACCTGAAAGAAAAGGTGTCAAACTGTAAGAAGAAAACATTCCCGAAAGCTATAAAACAAGACTTGAACAAATGGAAGAACACTCCCAGTTTGGGTAGCATGACGTAGTATAAATTGACTCTCTGTAAGTTAATGTAAAACTTAACACAATCCAAATGAAAACATGAATAAGCTTTTTTTTATGGAGGTGAACAAGGTGATACTAAAAGTCACGTGGAATATTCACTTCGGCAGCACTGACACTGAAATTGAAATGACACAGAGAAGATTAGCATGGCCCCTTGTGCAAGGATGGCACTCAAATTCAAGAAGAAATCACATGGGAAAGCAGACATGCAAGAATAGACAGCAGTACACTGAAAAGGAAAGACTAGGAAAAAGGACTAGCTCTAACACACGTATACTATGAAGTCTTCATAAATAAATCAGTGTGGTACTGGTACATGAATAAACAGACAGAATAGATGAGAAAGCCTAGAAACAGACTTAAGTACAAGTGGAAATTTAGTATATGATAAATTTAGTCATTTGTGACATCACTGTAATTTTAATCAGATGGTTCTGGGACAGCAGGATAGCCATGTGGAATAAAGTAAATTTAGATCATACCTCACACCATACATAAATTCCAAATGGAACAGGGATTTATATGTAAAAAATGATGGAGGTGGGGGAAGAATACTAGAATAAAACATTGGTGATTTCCTCTTTAACTTTGATATAGAAAAAGATTTTCTAACTGGCTATATAAAAATAGACGTTTTCTGCATGGAAAAAAACATTAAAGACAACTGAAAAACTTTGAAAAAATGTTTGCATCATAGATCTAACTGTAAAGTACTACTATTGCTAGTATATAAATATTTTTTTAATTGAGAAGATAATTTTTAAAATTCATTAAAATGAAGGAAAAGACACAAGCAGACAATTCGCAAGAGATATAAAAGTGACCTTTAAAGACAGGAAAATATATTTAATCTCAATCATGATTAGAAAAATGAAAATTAAAGACTATACCAGGATAATATCAAAGGACAATTTAAAAAGTATGATAACACATTCTGTAAAGAAACAGGCACTCTCACACATTGTTATTAAGAATGCAAACTGGTACAAGCTTTTTGGAGGAAAATTTGGCAAAGTCTAAGAAAACTACATATACACTTACCTTTTAACTTATCAATTCCACTTGTAGGAATTTACCCAGAAGATACACCTCCAATAATACAAAAATCCAGGGTTATTGATTACAGCATTGTTAGTTGCTGTAAAATATTGGAAACAATGAAGATGTCTACACATAGGAGAGTGGTTAAGTAAGGTATATACATTTACACAGCTGTAAGCAGAAAAAAATTAGAAGAGGATTTCTATGAACTAATATGGATCATCATTATTATTTTTTTTTAATGTGCAAAAATATATCTACTACTTTTCACCTTTTATGAAAGAAAGAAAAATAAATAAAATATACATGTATCTGCTTGTTTGTGCCAAAAGAAACACAGAAAGTTCAACCAGAAATGAATCAGACTGCGTTTCCATGCGGGGATAAGGAGGAGAGGTGCGGGGGCGGGGAAAGTATAATTAGAACAGTTCTGAGTGTAACTCTTTGTACCTTCTGACTTTTAGAAACTATGATAATGTTTTATAGATCAAAAATATAAATAAGTGACCCAAATCAAGCAGGATAAGAGGATAACCCAAACAGTAACAGATGAGTCTAATTCTATTACAAACTACACTGAAGGGGGTGGGGAAGAAGAAACAAAACACAAAACAAAACAAAATAAGTTTGAAATACAGTAGTTCAACTCTATGCTCTAAAGATCAAAAGAAATGTACACAAACACTGTATACCAGTTAGTAAGTTCCTCCAGTCCCCTAGGGTGGCATGGGTTAGTAATTTTAAAACTAGTTCATGTACATTTTTGGGTTGTGCAAATAAGTAAATCAATGAGTAATGAGAAGTAGATTCCTTACTATCAGAGAAGGAAGTTACAAATAAGGAAAAGAGGAAGGCTAAAATGAATATTGTGACATTTGATTGAAATGAAATGAACTCACAGTGAGAGAGAGAGAGGAGATAGATGATAGAAATTTAGATTATGTGTATGTGTACATCTTTATATATACATAATTTTAGTTTCAGCTTTGTTTGCTTACAGAGCCTAGAAGTAAGGACAGCAGTACCAATCAACTAGCACCCAGATTTTGGTTTCTAGATGCCTTTCACTAATAAAACAAACCAGGGCTTCTTGGAGAAGTGAGTGATCCCAGGGCTGGGGTAGGGGAAGTATGAGATTAGCCTAGAACATCTTATGGTACAAGAACAAAATAAGAAGTGCTCAGAAAAAAAGACAAACAATGATGGATAGACACGTGTTGAAAGGACATGGAAGTCAATTAGAAGAGGTTCCCAATGGTCAAATCTGGGTTATTTTGAAAAACAAAGTAAATGATGATAGTATTAGATTATAAATACAGAATAAAATAAATGTCCACAACTTCATACCAATATTCATAAATAATTGAATAGCCAATAAATGGAAGAGAAGGAAAAGATCTTGACTTCACAGTAGAATTAGAATTAATTGCTGATTCATGGGCCAATATAGCATAAGAAATAGGATATTTACATAATCCTAAAGTATCTCTCTATAAAATACAAATTAAATACACAGGAAAAAATAGTTACTTTAGAGTGGAGAAATCCAGCAGACACTACTTTAATCAAGTGATCAAAGTTAACATTTCCAATAATAAGATATTAATTTCTTGGACTCCCTGATATGATGATATACTAAGAAACTTACAATATTGCTTCTGTGATATTCTTACCATCTATGTATAATATTAATATAACCACCATGAATTTGATCACAGTCTGGATCCTGGACCATAAAATAGGCATTAATGGGACAATTGGCAAAAGTTGAATAATGTCTATAGATTAGTTAATAGTATAATACCAATATTAATTTCCTGATATTGAAAATTATAGTTAAGTAAGATGTTAATATTTGGGGACATTGGGTAAGGGGCATATGGCAATTTTACATTATATTTTTTCCAAGGTTTGCAATTTTAGGTTAGTCGAAAATTATTTCAAAGTAAAAAGTTTAAAAATTAAAAAATATTAAAAAGAAAGGAAAGGCATTTAAAAATCTTGCCATGTAGAGTTAATAAGTTTTGTTTTAAAAGGGACAACTTAACATTATCTCAAAATAAAAAAATATATTTCTTCTCAAATGTTAAATATATTTTTTTGTATAAAAAGCTATAAAAACATACATGAAAGATGTATTTTTTTTAATATAAATTCTTCCCAGATCAATGTGTTTCCTCTCTCTGAGCCATTATTTTAATTTTCCAACTATTGCTCATGTCTTCACAGGATATGATCCAGGCAATGATGTAATATTTCTGTAAATTAACTCCTAGAGATCATTTTACCCCAGTGAGTATTGAGCGTCTTACAATCTAGTTTTATGTGTCTATTGCTCTAGGCAACAGATTTCAGGGAATTCCATTTCTACCCAAGCTATTAGATGTCATTTAGCAGCACAGAAGATGTGGCCCACACAGAACAAGTACTCATGTGCAGTTGGGGAGTTTTCTTCCGAATCTTGTAAAGGAAGGTGGAGAAATGGAGAACACTTCTGCCAAGCACAAGACTTTCCTGGTCTACAACTGCTTCACGTTCTCAGCATCAAATAAACTATGTTGAAGCACTTTATTTCCTGAAAATATGCTTACTTACAATAAGTAGCTAATTATAATGAATGCTGTATTTTTAAATTCTGTTTTAATGAAATGTGTTTCTTTGGGGAATTAAGATGAAAATACAGCAAGTCCCCTGAATTTGCCACCAGAGGGCACAAGACATTGAGAAATACAGCAAACAAAGCCCTCTTGCTTCTGAGTTTCTCAGATTGCAGAGTTCGAAATTTCTAGGTAACTATTTCCAGAAATGAACTCACTTGGAAGACAAATAAGATACGTGCAAATGAAGATAAATAAGAAGACGTTAGGAGGGAAACACTATCATTTTTTATAAGAATGAAATCCTCAACGATGTTCTTAAGAGTGCTCATCTACATACATCTATTAGTTATTGATTTAGGTTAAACATTGAAATAGGTTGGCAGTGATAAATGGTGATGTTTCCTCACCTTGAGATGTTTGAGAAAAATATTGACTGATTAATGCAATTGTGTCTAGAACATAAGGAATGAGCTAGTTCAATTAGAATCAATGAAGCCAAGGTGTTGAGTTCAATCTGGGTATGGATCAGTGAACATCTCTCTAAATCAAGGCTACTCCCTCACTCTAACCAGCCAGTGCACACCGCGGGTCATGGGGGAATGGTGAGAGAGTGTACATGCACAGCATCAATCTCGCTCCACACTGGAGAAGTGAATCAAAGTGCACTTCTACTGACGTTGGGTCGATGAGATGTCCTCACAGATGGATGATCTTTTGACCTTGAGATTAGAAATTAGAATAAAATAAGTCATACTTTTCCTATTGATATTTCCTCAACTAATCCTTTCTCATTTCTATTTTCTTTCTCACCTAAACCCCAACCCTTATTTTGTTCTTTGATACGGTACATATATAGAAGAGGTCGTGAATTACTGATTTTAAATAGTTTTTAAAGTATTTAAATCCTGCCAGTACCTTTGCTGAAACAGCTTGAATGGGCAGGTGATATTAGGCTTGGACTGGAATGCAACTGGTCTCTTCCCATCCTCTGCATCAGATGGTACCTTACCCATTATATTGCGTTCATTTCTTCCTCATTGAATAGAAACCCTTGGTGCTATTTGCAGAGATGAGGAATTTTGAAAGAAACTGGGCATATTAGGTGGAATCAATATGATGTTTCTATATCCAAAACAGTCCTCGTTGGTTTGAGGATGATCATGGGCAATACTGCATTTGTACAGCTGGACATACAAGTGCACCACATGTTTTTTTCATGCTGCTTCCAAGTCTCTCTAGACAGGTGAAAGTAAACTACAGAGCTGCACCATCTTGACAATTCAGACAAAATACCACGTAAATATAAGGGCTTGGGGTTGGGAGGAGGGTGTGCATTATTTAGAATGTTTATTTACATTATTTTCATATGTTTTGGATGACTGCAATGTTTCTTTTTTACCCTTTCAGAATAAACCCAGAAATAATTTTATTATATAGGATGTTCTGCATTGTCTTAAAATTATTAAAGTCTTAATATAGCTCATTGTTTTATTCTACTTCCTCATCTCCAGCTTTTTAATCAGTCATTATGTGGTTTAGTTTTCCCCTTTAGGTATGG